TTGTTACAGATTATTTATTAATAAGTATATCTACTTCGCCAATGTATTACGCGATAGAACGAATAACTGTTTTCATATACTGATATTGCTATATCTAGCAAACTATTAGTAAAAAACATATATTTAAATACAAAGTATCTGTGGTTCTTTACAGTATAAAAATGTTGTTATAAAAATTATTTGTATTTGTATACAGTAACTACATACTTTTCTCATATACTACATGTTAACCTATATTTATTTGTAAAATGTCTCCAAAGTTTGATGAACTAGTCTTCATTAAGGTCAATGTGATACACCTGCTTTCGCAATAACAATTTTTTAGTTCGATATATTTATAAGTACACATACATGTTTATTACTGATATTGCATATATATGTGTAGATACGTTCCTAAAATGTTAACATTTATTAACAAAAATAAATACTTTGTATCATAAAAAACTTGAAGCTCCATGAATGTTCAGTACAGTCAACAGTTTTATTATTTAACTGATTTGTCTTACGATTATCATGTATTATTTAGTGATTATCCTGTCCATGCTCTGATTGTGCCCTTTCCTGTTTTTTTTGTTTGGGGTCCTCCTGGTCTCCCTGACCACTGTTCCTTGTTGCTGGGTCGTGTTGGGGTTGCGATCATTGAAACGCCGCTTTCCTTGTTGCTCTTGTTTACCATATTTTCATGTTTTCTATGTATATATATATATATATATATATATATATAATATATGTTGGTAGTGAACTATCAATAGAACGAGTGATTTTTAATTCCTTGTCTTTGTAAAATTATCTATTTTTATGTTTCTTTTTAATAGTATATATCCGGAGCCAAAAGGTATAAAGTGTCAATCCCCAGAAAAGATAATACTAATGGCTAATGATGTTAACAACTACACAGGTATTACCCTTTACTGTGTTTTTCTAGAATATTTTCTTCAATATTATATACCCGTTGCGCAAGTGGGCCGGAACTAACAATTTGTTATCTGAGTACCAGTATGGGTTTCGTAACGGCAAAGGCACCATATAGATTTTCATTCTATAATAAATGAAGTATTAATAGCGAGAGAAAGAAATTATATTGACGCTCTATTGATTTTCGTTAAGCATTTAATGTTGTATATAGAAATGGTAATATGGAAAGGAACATTTATTAAACAAGGGGCAGGACGTGAAGTGGTTGCACACACTTGGTTCAAGTGAGCGAATTGGTTGCAAACTGGACAAAATGGCATAACACGCGCGTGATTTTTTGAAACGGGTGAACGAACTTTTTGCCAGGCAAGTGGGTTTCTTTGTTATTTTGAAAGTTCATTAAGTGTGTCTATTCCATAATGCAATATATATACCACACTCGGTTTAAGGTTCAGCATCCTAGATTCTGTTTTGACGAAGTTATTGAAGATAATAAACTGATCATGTAGATATTTTTGAAATTTGACCATGTGAGGGCTGTTCTAGGTCGGTTTTTCTCTCTAATTATTTCGAATTTGTAGTATTTTGACTGCATTTAAACAATAACCAAAATATGTTTTTCTGTCAATGCAGTACAAATGGTTTAGTTCGCAAGTCCGAGATAACTTTCAATACACAAAATATATTTGTTCAAGCAACAATTTGTTGCATACTTACACTTCAAGCATTTTTGGTTGCAAACTTATTCTTATTCTAATTGAAATCCATAGTAAAACTTTGCAAAAGGATTGTAGTAGTTTTATATTTATTAACCTTTTTTCAATGGCAATTATTTGACATTTATGTTCTTTTACTTGTTATTTTGTTATAATGTTATTTATACTTTCTTCTTTTACAACAAGTATGCACTTTAATGTTTCAAATTACATGGTTTCTCAGTTCAATAACTATAATCATCAATTTAAAGCCTGCAAAACAAAATAATAGCACAATAGAAGAAAATATTTATTGATACTTCAATTCTAAAATATGTCATCATATGTAAAATGCAAAGAAAGTATGTGAGAGTACTGCTGTATGTAGTTGAATTATTTTTTAATGCATAAACTAAAAGACAGTGCACACAATACGATGTTTCTCGGGGCATTTCAAAGTTTACCTTGTTTTTGTTTTGTTTCGTATGTAAAGATCAGCATTGTTGCTTGACATAAGTATGTATTGTACTTAATAAAGCAGTTTAAAAATGACATGCTGTTTACAATATTTCGGAATTATGATATGTACATATAATATATATGTCAATTGGTATTCTAAAAATTATTTTGACTATTAGATTATAATATAACTGATATACGATTGGTAATTTACATTGACTGATATATGACAAAACTATATAAAGTCATTGTTCGAGTTAGGGAACTTTGAAGATGTTTCGATTGGTCAATAATAAGGAACAATTTAAAGAAAAATGTGAACAATGCCCTTGTGTCAATGTTAATATAGTTTGTATCTACTATATAATCAAATTTATTTCAAATCTCAAAAAAGAACAATAATGAAAGCTGTTTGTTTTTTTTCTCTTCTTTTCCTTTACTGTTAGTCATGCCAAGATGAAAAAGTCCTAAGACTATGTTAAACGAAAAGAAGTATATCGAAGAGAAAAAAAGATGAAGATAAACACAACTGAACTTCAATTTTGCATATTGTGTTTTATATCTATTTGAAAGACCCTGTGTTAGGATATATCTGCACGCATGCACAATTTGTATATATATTTCTTAGTAGATGAACGGGTATAATTGCCTTAATATTGCTAATTATTTTTTAAAAAAAAGATAAGTTATTCCTCGCTAAAAATATCCATGCCACATTATTGACACAAAAGTTTGCAACCAAAAATGCGTGAAGTATAAGTCTGCAACCAAAATGTGCTTGAACAAGATATGTTTGTGTATTGAACGTTATCTTCGGACTTGCGAACTAAACCGCTTGTACAGCATTGACATAAACATATTTTGTTATTGTTAAATGCAGTTTAAAACGTACTTATTCGAATAAATTAGGAGAAAAACCGACCAGAACAGTCACATGTCAAATTTCAAAATATCTACATGATCAATTTATATCTTCAATAACTTCGTCAAAACAGAATCTAGGATGCTGAAACCTTTAACCGAGTGCGGCATATATATTGCATTATGGAATAGACATACTTATGAACTTCAAAATAACAAAGAAACCCACTTGCCTGGCAAAAATTCGTTCACCCGTTTCAAAAAATTACGCCGTGTTCGCCATTTTGTCAAGTTTGCAACCAATTCGCTCGCTTGAACCAAGTGTGCAACCACTTCACGTCCTGCCACTTGTAAATGAGGACTCGACATTTAATGCAATATTTTTTTTTCATTCTTGACAAAACGTGACACTGACGACACGACATTCGACTTAAGTTTTTTTCCGCTATTTAAGCGAAGTTTGCATTGATCATTTTTGTTTCTTTGGTTTTACGGCGCACCAACACAAATTATGTCGTGTTTATATGTTTATATATACCCCTTTGAAAACAACAGGTAACAGATGGACAATTCAGTAGGTGATTTTTTTGCAATTATCTGTAAAATCAAATATGGATAATGTACTATATGCACTGTATCTTCTTCGTGATTATTATACATGTACATGTAGTTTGTATTTATTACTATGTAATCCTTTTCGTATTGGTTGCAAGTGGCTCCATTGTGGGCAATAAATTTTCTCTTTTCTGAGGTAATACAGGGAAATAGTATTTAGTTTAAGACCAAGGTTAAAGTCAGATGTATCTTTGTATGTAAGTTGTAATATACTCAATATATACTATATAGGCAACCCCCACCAATCCAAACCGGTGCTAGGGGGCGTGAGAGGTGTTTTATATTTTAGAACATACTCAATCAAATCGAGTCTACGTTTTTAGATTATATTCCTGTTTCCCTGTTCCGTGGGATAACTTTTTTTAGATTTGTTTTTATATAAGTCGTATGTAGGTGCTACAACCAGTCTCTGTCAAGTGATTCAACTGCAAGTTTTGTAGTTAAAAAAGGTCAACGCAATGCTAAGATCGTTGTTATCTCAACATTTCAAACATGTTATAGCAGTTCAGTTTTTCACTGGCCGTGTCGGTGAAGCTGTCACTTCCACAAATGTGTATATTTATATTTTGTGGGACATCGCAGTATAGAACAAAACATTGAACATATGGGGGAACGGACCACGTACAATTTTGCACATGAACGCTGTTTCGCCCTGTTATTTGTCCGTGGTAAAAAAACACCAAAACTGCTTTCGATACAATGTAATGTAATAGCAATGAATTTCCACTAATGATCCGGACGAATTTCATGCTTTTGCTTATCGCTAATAGATGCAAAATGGAGAGGTTGATATTTTCGGATAACACCCTGTTTAGCAATTACTGGCACGTGTTATTTCCGATCACTGTACCTTTCTTTCGGGCCAGTATATTTGAACTTTAACCCTTTCGCTGCCAGAGGGTTATTTATTTATTGATCACATATTTGCAAGAAGGTTTTCTTAGAAATTACTATATTTTTAATTAATAATATTATTATTATTTGTTATTAGTATTATAGTAATTTTATATGTTTCCAAATATGCTAGTATAATAATAATTAGTGTCGATGGTATAATTATCTATATATTTATTATGATTATTATTATTATTATTATAATTATTATTATTATAATAGAAACGTCAAAAGCCGTCCATATGGCAAATACGCCGAAAATAATAGGAACGGCATATGCCGTCAAGGGTTAACCTCTCTTGCGATATCAGGAAGTAGTCATGTTTATATTCTATAACTTTTGTAAAGTGGAACATATTTTCCTGATATCATTTATCTATAAAGCAAATACTTATATATTGTAGTTCGTTAAAGTAGTTCATTGGCTAAATATACCGAAATTTATATATTATTAACCGGTATTTAAGTAGTCTTCTTTGACAACAAATGAGAATCAATTCTACAATGTCTACTTTTTCCAGGCTGTTGTTTTTTGTGCTAGTTGTTTCCTTTATAACCACTATGTCTGATTTGTTCGGCTACAAACTCCTAGCACTTGTTCCCGGTACAAAGAAAATGTCAGTTCACGACTACAAAGAACCATTTTATGAAAATACTTCAACGGGAAATGCATTTCTCACCACTTCTCGGGAGAACATAACAGCAGTTATTTTTTCTAATATGGCAACAACGCAAGGTTCTAAAACTCGTACAGGCATGAAAACGCACGTGGCGTTCTTGAAAGTCCACAAAGCAGGATCGACAACTATGCAGAACCTATTTTTCAGATTTGGTCTACGGCATAACTTAAATATTCTCCTTCCAAGATCTGGCACATATCTAGATTCACCTGGACAGAAACTGCCTTTAAGGCCTGGTGAACACTACGATATTTTTGCATGCCACACCGTTTATCGCACGGAATTGTTTAAAAGCCTACTTCCGGCAGATTCGGTAAATATCGCCATCGTCCGTGAGCCAGTTGATAGAATGATCAGTGCTGCATTTTATTTCAGGGATCTTATTGGCGATAAATACCTAAAAAGAATTCCCTCAACTTATTACATCCACAACCTCGTGAATTTCCCAGAAAAATACAACACAGCATTCTTTTCGCGGACTAGGAACACAATGGGTAAAGATTTTGGATTTCCCAAGTATATTCAGCCAAATAAAAAGGCTCAAATAAAGGCATATTTGGATAAGCTTAATTCAGAATTTTTACTTGTTATGATAATGGAAAAGTTTAATGAATCTTTGGTCATGATGAAAACGGCACTTAACTGGTCATTTATTGACATTATCTATCTAAAAAGCAATTCACATAAACACAGCCAAATTGTGCTAAATGCTACTGAAATAGCAAAGTATAAAAATACAAGTTTTTTAGACTTTGAAATTTATAATTATTTTTCAGAAGTATTTGAAACAAAGTTGAAAACGATGGGAAGTGATTTCAACAATGAAGTCAAGTTTTTCCAAACTGTTTTGGATAGAGTCCATGATTTTTGCTCGACAGACACTGTGAAAGAACTCACTTTGACATTTTTAAGTTCGAAATGGGATAAACATTTTGTAGTAAGAGACACTGATTGTGAATGGATGAGAACTGGAGAAATGCGATTCATTTCTAAACTTCGTTCAAATTATACTATGAAACGTCGAGGATAGAGTTTGCTAGTTGAGTACCCCATTTTAGCATAATATAATTTATAACAAAATTTTACCATGGAAGCATTGAAATATTTTTGAAAATACATAAGAAAAAAAAAAATGAAATTGTCATTGTAATGTGTTAAAAAATGTTGACAATTTGTAAGATGAGCAAACCGAATGATTCGCCTATAAAGAAAACTTAAAGATTTATAAACTTAAAACCATGTAACATTAAACGTTATACATGTAATCTGAAAACTTTAAAGCTTTATATACTACTACGACCTTCTGATTGTTTACTTTACAAGAAACAAAATCGTTAAAAAACCCTTTATGTTAGAGTAACTCATAGAAAGCTTTATCCAACAGCAATTAATGAAAATATTAGCAAAGGTATGGTAGAAAATATTACATTGACTGTCTTTTATATTGGGTTTTGCCCCTGAGCAGATTAGACTGGTTCCCGGCTTGTTTTCGCCTTTTTTGCCTTTTCAGCATAATTATCTAATTTCTTGCATTTTCGCTTTTTGCATTGTTTTATTCTACTTTTTATTTTCGTATTGTTGTATTCTCGAATCATTGCGTTATAGTTTTATCGAAAAAATCATTCAATAAAAATAACAACGACCACGACGAGACTCGAACTCGCAATCTTCTGATTCGAAGTCAGACGCCTTATCCATTAGGCCACGCGGCCGCTTACGTGATGACAAGCAGTAATTTTGCAATGGCTAAATTACCTACCATGGCAAATATTTTCAGAATCTACTCACGGCAAAGTTTATTCCAATACTCAGAAAAGAACTTATGTATGATGTAATAAAATGCAGTATTTTTTATTGTGTGCGTAGGAAGGAAAACGCGATATTTAAAACATTCAACTCAAAACTTTTAATTAAACAATATCATTTGTCAATGAAAATTGAAAGAAATTCCTCTAAAAGTGTTTCAGAGGATGGATGTAAAATTCTATGGCTAGCAATAAAAGTATTATTATTTACAAATGCATTTTGAATAAAGATGCACATTTAATATTAAGATTCAGGGAGTACAATATATGAATAAATTGATGAAACTATGTATACAATTGTTTACTATCGTTTCTTAAATGTGGTTCCGAAATTCAAATTTTTAATATATATTGACTGCTTATACCTAGAGCTCCACTCGTCATTGTGCGTTCGATCCCGTCCCAACCTATATATACTATATTGGGTATCATATTAAAACTATCAATTAAATTGTTTTTTGTAAGATATCTTAAATAGAAGGCGTTATAAAGAATAATGGCTGTATGTATTTCTCCGTTTTTGAAGCTACTCTCTCATACGAAACGGTCTAAAACATCGACATAACTGGTGACAGTTACTAAATATATATAGACTTAAAATTTGCAGTTTCCATGAGCAAATTCTCACGTAATATCTCTATAAAATTCTGATATGAAACTAATAATTTAAAAATATAATTATGCAAAAAAAGTGTTTCTAAACTAAATTGATAAGTTTATAACAAGATCTAGTAAGTTAAAGATGTAGTTAATGATCTTTTATTCGATATTAAAAACTGTTTATGTATTTGATACATACTCATATATTGACATTTATGTATTCTTTTTACTATCTTCCGACGAGGTGGCCGAGTGGTTAAGGCGATGGACTGCTAATCCATTGGGCTCTGCCCGCGTGGGTTCGAATCCCATCCTCGTCGAAATTATTTTGTTAATAAGGACACTTAACATTCCAATGAAACTTGTGATATATTTGTATCCTTTTCACGCTCAATAATAAAGAGAGCTAGAGCATAGGGGATTATTTTGGTTATCAAATGTAAAGTATAATCAATCATTTAAGATAATACGTTTCAGCCATTACGTTATTCCAATACTCAGAGAACAAGCGTATGTATAAATAAATGAAATAAAATGCAGAAATTTTGTATTGTATGCGTAGGTGTGAAAAGGCGACATTAAAAACATTTAACTCCAAACATTCAATTAAACAATATCAATTGTCAATAAACATGTACATGTTAAGAAATTCCTTAAGAACTGTCACAGAAGATGGATATAACATTCTAAAGCTAGTAATAAAATTGTTATCATTTATAAATGTAACTTAAATTTAGATAAGCAGTTAAGATCCAGTAAGATAAAGTTGTAGTTAATGTCAAAGAACCTTTAAAGTCGCATCTGTGTATGAATATATTGATGAAACCATGTATACAATTTTTGACGTTGAAAGAGAAAATAAGACCCTTGTATTTAATTAATTCACATTTTACTATCGCATCTTTCATGTCGTTCCGAAATTCAAACTTTGAATAGATATCAATTAGATTATTATTGTGAAAAAGTAACATTAATATTTTCTATTTATCTATCTAATTAATATTGAATATCCGGTATTGCACAATATCATACAGATCTTTTTATCTTTCGATCTTTACAAGGTAAATAATTTATATGTGTTACAAATTGTGCAGTATTTAATATACATATTCAAATTTATGTAAAATTATTGCCGTCAACAATCAAAGGCGTTCAATGGATGAGGTGGCCGAGTGGCTAAAGCGGTGGACTGCATATACTTTATGTGCACATGTATATTATTCGACGATGACTTAATGGTAATGTGAAAAGACACGAAACAACGAAATATAATGTTGAGGCATCATCATCAACATTATAATTATTATTTCATGCTAACGAATTAGTTTTTTTATTGGCCGGTATGATCGAGTAAACGGTGTTTATGCTTTTAGTAAATGTATTTTACATGTGTATATATAAGAAGCGACGACCGTGTGACGAGGTGGCCGAGTGGTTAAGGCGATGGACTGCTAATCCATTGGGCTCTGCCCGCGTGGGTTCGAATCCCATCCTCGTCGGAATAATTTTGATACGGACACTCAGCATTTCAAAATATATGTATCCTTTTCACGTGCAAGAATTTTGAGATCTATAAATGACATAGAGGATTATTTTTCAGTTTATTTGCTGCCGGAAATGGTATTTAGTGTAAATGTTTGCTACTATGTTTGAAAAATACTCTAGAATCATTTGTTTCTCATGGGTCATTTGTTTCTCATGGGTCTCTGTTAACGAATAAGAAATGAATTCATGTGTATCTCTTTAAATAAAACGCCTGAAACATTCAGTTAACATAAGCATAATGTTACAGCATAATTTGTTTAAATAGTCGGATGAAATAAAAAAGAAATGAAACGATCACAACGAGACAGGAACTCGCAATATCCTTATTCGAGGTCAGAGGCCATGCGGTCGGTGGAATACCAATAAACTAAAAAAGTAATAAATTTGTACATGTATAGCCACCGGTTTTCTTAATGTCATGCCGGTTATTGGTAAAGTATAGAAATGACCGTTTATTACGGTGGCATAAAAGTGACATTTGCAAATTTTTTATTTTTTTTTGTTTTTGAAACTTTTTTTTTTGTTTTTCGCACATTTTTTATTTTTTTTTTTGTTTTTGGAACTTTTTTTTTTTTGTTTTTCGCACATTTTTTTTTTTTTTTTTTTTTTTTTTTTTTTTTTTTTTTTTTTGCACATTTTTTTTTTTTTTTTGTTTTTGAAACTTTTTGTTTTTTGTTTTTCGCACATTTTTTATTTTTTTGTTTTTGAATTTTTTTTTAAGTTTTGTGTACATATTTTATTTTAGTTTTTCGTACATATTTTTAAGCCAATCAAAACAGTTACACCTTATAGAAATAGTTATCTCCCATAGTATAAATTACGCCATTTCCTTGTTCAAAAATGGATAACACACATAGTTACTTCCCTTAGTATGAAATAAGCCGTTAATGTACCTCAGTATACACGATGGGGTCTCAAATCGAGGAATTTCTACGAAAGCGAGGGGTAGACTCTTCAACACTGGCACGAATGGCCACGGATAAGGTAACTTGGATTTTTTTCTTTGGTTTTACGTCACACCGACACAGTATAGGTCATTTGGCGACGTTCCAGCGAAGACCTCAGGTGCCCTTCCGTGCATTATTTCAGGCACAAACGGGCAAGGTAACTTGTTCCGAGGCATATATTATTATAGATTATTTTAATTATATATAGTAATTGTGGTAAATCTAAACCGTTGAGCCACACATAGTGATTAAAAATGTGACTTAAAAGTGCAGAAATCAAATTTTGTAAACAATCTTATTATTTAAATTTTGTATAGATAGTCCTGATATATAAAAGCACAGAGCAAGAATGCATGTTAGTCTAATTCATTAGACTCTTAAAGGCTTGTACACAACGTACAATCAAATGGGCAGACAGCCGTTCAACCGTCGACAGCCGTACCGGTATATATATGCTTTTATATATCAGGACTATCTATACAAAATTTAAATAATAAGATTGTTTACAAAATTTGATTTATGCACTTTTAAGTCACATTTTTAATCACTATGTGTGGCTCAACGGTTTAGATTTACCACAATTACTATATATAATTAAAATAATCTATAATAATATATGCCTCGGAACAAGTTACCTTGCCCGTTTGTGCCTGAAATAATGCACGGAAGGGCACCTGAGGTCTTCGCTGGTACGTCGCCGAATGACCTATACTGTGTCGGTGTGACGTAAAACCAAAAAAAAAAAAAAAAAAAAAAAAAAAAATCCAAGTTACCTTATCCGTGGCCATTCGTGCCAGTGTTGAAGAGTCTACCCCTCGCTTTCGTAGAAATTCCTAGATTTGAGACCCCATCGTGTATACCGAGGTACATTAACGGCTTATTTCATACTAAGGGAAGTAACTATGTGTGTTATCCATTTTTGAACAAGGAAATGGCATAATTTATACTATGGGAGATAACTATTTCTATAAGGTGTAACTGTTTTGATTGGCTTAAAATATGTACGAAAAACTAAAATAAAATATGTACACAAAACTAAAAAAAAAAGTTTCAAAAACAAAAAATTAAAAATGTGCGAAAAACAAAAAAACAAAAGTTTCAAAAACAAAAAAAACAAAAAAAATGTGCGAAAAAAAAAAAAAAAAAGTTCCAAAAAAAAAAAAAAAAAAACAAAAAATGTGCGAAAAACAAAACAAAAAAAGTTTCAAAAACAAAAAAAAAAAAAATGAAAAAATTGCAAATGTCACTTTTATGCCACCGTAGTTTATTGTTACAGTAAGTCTTTTTGTAAAAGAATAATCAATCATTTCAAATATTATTTTTCAGCCTTTAAGAAAATTCAGGATTCATTTTTTTCCTTTTCCTTACTTATTTTTATTTTGATCAATTAGCTGAAACCTAAGATAGATGGCACATGAATTAGATATGAAAATGCCAACTGTTCTAGTTACGTGGATTTAATGCTGTATTAGAAAAAGAAACTCATCTCAAAGCAATTTCCCGAGAGCAATTAAATCAACAAGTAATATGAATCATTACCTAAATATTTGTTGATGATTCTGTATTAAAAAGACTATCCAATAATTTTATTCTTTTTGCTAAATTTATAACAGAATCAAATTTATAACATATCATAGATGACGCATTTCAAATTTAGACAGAAGCAAGCAACATACGCAAAATGACATGATATGCAAGTACGAATGAACTGAATTGATTTTAGTTTGCTATTTTATCATTTTGAATTCCACTAGAAAACTTGTTGTTCAATAAAATTATCATTTCATTCATGTAATTTCCGTCGTATGTATAACATTTTAATTTTATAGTATACTTTGTGTTCACATCGTAACACCTGCATGCTTGACAAAAACAAATCAAAACAATTCGAAACTAGAACTGTGTTCAAAGGACACGGATGCCCCCACTGACAACATATATATGGTATATAGTGAAAAAATCAACAAAGGGCCATAATTCTGTTATTTTGGTCGCAGCAAAAATTCCTTCCTTTACTTCCATCTACACATTAAGGTTGTTCATCCCTGGAAGTTTAAGCAAAATCTGCCATCCGGTTTAAGAGGAGTTGCGTTCACAAAATTTCTATATGGTATATAGTGAAAAAATCAACAAAGGGCCATAATTCTGTTAAATTTTGTCGCAGCAAAAATTCCTTCCTTTACTACCATCTACACATTAAGGTTGTTCATCCCTGGAAGTTTAAGCAAAATCTGCCATCCGGTTTAAGAGAAGTTTCGTTCACAAGATTTCGGGACGTACGGACAGACGGACGGACGGACAAGTGCAACGCTATATGCTCCCCACTTTGTGGGGGGGGGGGCATACAAAGGACAAACATAGGCATAACACAAGAATAGAATATCGGCATATCTTTTCCGAGTCTGGATACAAAAATTATGTAAAACATATGTATGACAGTACTATACACAATTTATGTAACGAAGGTAAATGACTGTATAAGCAAAAGGTGGACAAAATACAATTTAGTAAGACAAGACAGTCAACCCTAGCATCAAAACGCAAAAAAGACTTCCACTTTGGAACAATTTCCAGTATCAAAAGATAAGTCCATAAGTATTCTGTTTTGGGAGATGTATGTAAGAAAATGGAAACAAATCAAAGACAAGATTTAATTGCCTCCCGTCATCTTGAAAAGTGCATTTTTATACAGACATAAATAATAGCCAATCCTTATCAGAACAGGTGACGAAATCAATAATTTAATTATAAGTAAAAGATAAATATAGCAACACTAAAAATTATGCAGGTATCATTTCCTGTTTCCTAACATCATTTGACTTTCAAATCGTTGGCCTTTTATGAACAAAAACTTTGTTTTCTCTCTTATATCAATTATATTATTTCATCAGAAGTGTAAATTTATTCATTAAATTGAATAAAGCAATAACATACAGCACGAAAAGAAGATTTTTATTTATATTTTAGTAAGAGTTTGTAATGATATGACTGATATTTCGTTGTATTTGAGAGTATGTACGTGATTTAATGATAAAACCTTCATGACAATGCAGTTCAATTAAAATACATTGGTCTTTTACGACACTTAAGTATTACGTGCTGAAATACCTTCATTCGATGGAATAATATCAATAAAGATAAAATTATCAAAGTAACTCTAAAAGATTTCCCCAGAATGTCATTGTATAGTTATAAAGTAGACAATTTGATGAATGACCTTGGTGGATGCGGACTTTTACAAAAACTTCTCTGTGTTATAACACACGTAGCTATCATATTAGCAGCATGGAGTGTTCTTGGAATGGCGTTTATTGGATATGATCCGGGATTCACTTGTCGGATTCTTAACATTGAAGCAACTGCCATGTCTTTCATAAACGCAAGCACGATTTCTACGCATCGTCTTTGTTCGGTTGGGACATATTCCACATGCAGTTCTTACCAATTTTCACCAAAGATGAATACTATTGTTTCAGAGGTAAGGTATTAAGTAAAGTTTTCAATATTGCAGTTTAGATTAGTTTAAATGCTCAGAAATTATTATTGGTTGACTTTGATAAATAAATGTCTCCATACATAAATGCTGAACTGACCTTTATTAATATTTCAAGTCAAAATATTAAGTTATCAATATATTAAGTTTTCAATTCATTATAGATATTTAGAGATAATATCATAAGAGCAAATAGATATGTACCTGAAAGATGAAAGATAACTAGTTATTTGCCTTTTTATATGACAGTGGAACCTAGTGTGTGACAAAAGATGGGTTGTGGCCGTTGTAACGTCCGTTCAAATGGCAGGAGTTTTTGTCGGAAACATCGTAACAGGTCCGTTGGCAGACTCCATTGGACGCAAACCTTCTTTGATAATAAATGTATTATTGTTGGTTGTCTTCAATTTCATCGCTTATTTCATACAGACGTGGGAGGTTTATGCAGTTATTCGCTTTCTTATTGGAATAGGAGCCGGTATTTACTTTACGGTAGCATTCCCTCTTATGGTTGAATTTGTACCGTCAAAACTGCGACCGATAGCTGTATGTTTCCCATCCGAGCCAATTGCTGCAATGCTGTTTGCATTTGTATCATTTTGGTTACATGATTGGAGGAGTATCCATTTATTAAAGACACTTATTGGCATTCCCATTTTGATGACTCTGTGGTAAGATTTGCTGTTGTTTGTAAATTTTTTAAAGAAACGTTAATTATTGTAGTAAATTCCAGTATTTGTGTTTTCAATAAGAAAAATCGTAATCCGAAAAAATGAATAGCATACTTCGATTAATATAATTGGTATATATCGTATATACTGATAAAGTTTTGTGATAAACAGTACAAACCTGTTTAACTTTGTTTGTTTGTTTGTTTCATTTTACGCTTTTTCCCAACAGTATTTCAGTCATATAGGCGGGTAGTTTCCTAACCATCGTTCCTGGAGAGTTACACCAGTACTAGACTACCTTCCTCCGCGCTAAACTACCAAAGCATCTCCCGGGGATCGAACCTACGCCAGAGAGGTAACTGGGTTAGAAGTCATCGACTCTAACCCCTCGACCACGGAGCATTAGCTCAATAAAACAAACATGAGGATAAAATAGATCTGCATTTTACATTTCAGTTTTATACCTGAAAGTTTCAGATGGTTGATTTCTAAATTAAAATTTGAGCGCGCTGATCAAACGATCAGCTTTGTGGCAAATGTCAATAGAGTCATTAAACCAGATATAGATGGTCTATTTGAAGCAGCTCAAAAGGAAATTGCAGCAACGTCAACTGAAAATATATCGCCATTTTCATTAACCATATTGTGGTCAAACAAGGACCTTCGAAAAGTGACTGTGCCCCTTACAATACCATGGCAAGTACAAGTTTCCTTCAAATAATTTTAAAAGCACATTATACAAGGGTGGGTCCATATGTAATGCAATATGAAGTATATTTTCTAATTAGCTCTTGAGTATTGTGTTTGCTTGAACTATGATATGCTTCGAGGCCTCTGATCTCACATGATACCAAACTTATGTGTGTAGTCAACATATTAAGATTTTTATTCACATTCAAAAGTACCTTTTTCGAAAACTTCATGTAAGATACTGCTGATAAAAGCTCAGTTAAAATTGCTGAAATATGGGCTTGCATGAAACTTTGTGCAAAACTAGGAAAATCCAATTTAAATGTTTATAATGATATTTGAAATATTTATTGCAATAATGAAGTATCTTATGCAACTGTGTCGAGGTGGAAGCATAAATTCAAAACTGGGCAAAACACAATGATTATATCAAGCTTATTATTGACAAAGATGTCAGACTCGTACTTAACCAGATAGCCCATATCGCAGGGGCATCAAAAACGTCAACTCATACTGTTCTAAAGAATCACATGGAAGTGATGCGAATAACTACGAGATTGAAAATCCATTCGCTTATGTCTGTCCAGAAGGAGAAAAGAAAGTGCAAGAATAAGATTTGGACCACCAAAAATGCTCGTCGACCATGCATTGCCAAGTGTTCTCGCAACACTAGTGTCCGAATTCATGTTTCTAGAGGCATTTCCGCCATATGTAAGTAATATCGAGATGGTGTGTTTAAAAAAACAACTTCACTTCGTCATTCGACTGGTATGAAAGGCCTATATTTTCAGCGTTCCTGCATACAAGGAGCTACTGTAATATTTGTCTTTTTTCTCGAGAGGAACGACTGACTGTCTTTAAACAACCATTGTTTTCTGCAAACTTGGCACCCTGTAACATTTTCGTCTATTCTAGACTGAAAAAGAGATCTTGAAGGTCGTGGCTACAAGAGAAGACATGGACTTGAATCGGCCATTATTCAATGATTGGAAGGTATACCTAAGGAGACTATGTTGAAGCATTTTAAAAAAGGATTAAACGTCTGAAACATTGTATTTCTGTAGGAGGCGTGTATTTCGAAAAGTTGAAATAGAAAATTCTAAAGAATTTGCTTTCTGTTAAATATACTGACCATATTCATTACATATTGACCCACCCTCATAGCTCGCGAGCGAGAAAATATTTTTGTTAGAGCATACATGCGTTTTTATAACGCTTAAATAGTGCTTTTAAATCATGTTAGATAAAATAAAATTATTTCTGACAGATTAAGCAAAATGCAAATAAAAAATTACAATAGTTCAAAACACTAAATCATTAAATTATTACTATTTCTGTACTATTAACCAAAGAGCAACATAAAATAAAGATGGGTCAAGAAGTTGGACAATAAGTGACGTTATGATAAATATAACAGAACACTAATTTTCTTATGAATAAAAGTAAATGCATTTCTTGTGCATAATGGACATTAAAGCATAATGATCTCTAAATATTTTCTATTTGTATAAATAAAGTAGTATCATGGTTGAGATATTGTAGCAAATTTCAATGTTTCATCAAAACAATGTCACATTCATCATGCGTATATTGTTCAATATTTGTCGGAATAGGTTTAATGTGCAGATAGAATGTGTTTAAGATATTTACTTCAGTATACGTATTTTTTGCAGGTTTGCAATTTGCTGTTCTTGGTTTTGTATGGCTTTAGGAATGGAAAGTTTTTCTGTCAACATTTATTTAACAATATTTCTTATAAATCTTGTTGACTTACCGTCCGTTTCTATCACAGCCCCTCTGGTAAACAGGTACATTTCAGTGTTTATTGTTTCAGTTCTCGTTTGCAAAATTTTAATACTTACATTTCTTTCCGTTTAATTATTTTAACATACGTTGTCACTTAAATATTGATTTTAAAATCGCCTTTGTTATTTATAAGTCCCAGTTATTTTATATATGTCTTGCTGTTGAGATTATTTGGCCCTTTTTGTTTTAATAAAACATTCACTTTGGTCTTCAGAAAAAAGTGGGTTTGAAATTCTTAATTACATCTGCATTTACAAGCATTAATAAGTTCAATTAAATTATTTTTTCAGATACGGGCGAAAGAAATATCTCGTATTTGTTTCTTTAGCGTCCGGTATACTGAGTGTTATTTCAGGAATTTTGCAGTATTACGGTAATGTTATTTCAAATGTCATATAAAACTTTATATAATTGTAACACGATGCGTTGATGACAATCAATTTAAGTTGAACCTGAGTTCTTGTGCACAATTATTTTTCACCGACCCTTGAATTATAAAATTTTACTGAAGAAAAAATATTAAATATATACAACCAAATTGTCAAATATTAAATATGACTAATAGCAATATTCTTCTGTAAAAAGTGCATATGGAAAAGTAATAAACATGAACGGAGAAGGAAAAAAATCTAAGGATATCATAATATTTAATCAAACGAGCTCGCGCAATTATTGCAGCTCGACTTAGGGCAAGTTGAAAAAATGCTAACTACAAAGCGGCCCTGGTAATTCCATTATCAAAACATAACTGTCAGATAAATCGCTCTAGCACATGTATGTTAGGCACGACGAAATGGCCAAAAAAGAAACACTGATCTTTTATTGTAATGATGGTACAAATCAATGCTTAATGACACTGTCTTACAGTTTATGTATATGATAAACTCTTGATTTGATTTCAGATAAACTCTCCCAACATTCAATAACACTCACTACAATTTCGTTGATCGTTTCGCTTCTTGCAAAAATGACATTGACAACTGCATACTATGCTATCATTATATACACAAATGAACTTTATCCTACAGTAGTAAGGTGAGACATATAATGACCCATGGATTAACTTTCTTAAAGATGATAACACATACAATTGCAAAAAGGTTAAGGACATGATTATCTACAATTAACTTTATGAATTTATTTCCGTTTTCGTAAAACCGAACAACTCTCTCAGTTATTTAGAAATATGTCTATTTTGATGGTCTTAGATTTATAGAATTAAACAATATTCTATTTTTTTTCTCAATATTCACAACATAATTATATATTTAAACTTTATAAAGCAAATATATTTAGTCTGGCTTACATTTTATTTTTATCTAAAGCTGATCTTTATATGGTATTTTAGGGGAAATGGATATGGACTACTATCAACAATTGGAAGAGTCGGCTCTATTGTTTCCCCGGTGTTGATTTATCTGGTTTGTACTGTCTATTATATTCCTTGTTGATTTCTTATGATTGTGTACTTAGATTTTGCATTTTTACACCAAAAAGACTGTTGAAAAAGGAAATAATGCTTGGATATTTTTCACAAGTAAATACAATTAGAACAATAAAAGAAAGATGTTATTGTCTGTAGCACTATACGTTAATTTTTTATTAAAAGTCGCCAATTTTAGTTATATGCATACCTCTTGTTAAACATGTCATTAAACGTAATGTTTATTGTCCAATCACCTGCTTTATTTCTTTTTTCTCTTTGTCAGATTATATTTCAGTTACATTTTTACAGGATGGACTTCTACCTGGAATAATGTATTTCATTTGCGGAGTGATGGTGTTTCTATCAACTTGCTGTGTTAGACGTTTACAGGAAACAAAAGATATGATATTACTCGACTCATTTTCACATCAGAAAAAAGACGATAATTGTAAATAAAAATCAAACATTGATACTCCATTTAAAACCTTTTTATTTGATATTACTCGACTAATGTTCACATCAGGAAAATGACGATAATTGTTTATAAAAATCAAACATCGATTCTCCATTTCAAACCTTTTTAATCAGGTACATAAATGACTCTTTCCTCTATGAAATTTTTAAGACAAAATGCTGCCTTTTCGAGATGGATTATTATTTTATAATTATGTTGTTGTTCAACATTTGGAAATTTGGAAATATTTTCTGAACTGTTATATACACTTGAAACACATGAATAACTATTATAATGTATTTCTCGGCTGTTGTTTTACTGCATATATAATTTGAAACTGACTTAAGTACTGCTTCGTATATAATGGTGAATTATTTACTATTGTTTATAATAATCTAAAGCATGATGCAACTTACTTTTTAAAAAATGTAATTTTCTTTCCTTAAGCAAAACAATTTGGCATTTATAAATATGAAACGTCTAAAATTGCTCATTTTAAGCATTCAAATGTTTACCTGTAGGGAATAGGGCACTGACACGAGACAGCTTAAATCTTCAGGACGTTTACTTATCTGCTATTAAAATACATCTTTTGCATAATTCTATCAGTAATTGTCATAGTTCTTATTCGAGATGTGTGTAACATTTAAATGGCCTTCACTCATGATTTTTCACATAAAAGGACCGCAAATTGTTTTCCGAAACTTGTTTTTCGTTTCATACAATTTTCATTTTTATAATGTAAAATGACGAAACAAATGAAACTATTTACACTCAAATCGGACTTAAAAGGTTTCCAATGTAAGGTGAGAAGCGTTTCAAGGCATTTAACTCAAATCCGGTCAAGAATCGCACAAAAAATAAATTTATAAGATACTTCTGAGTATACTTCTCTATCATCATTTACATATTTTTCCCTTTTAAGTTGATAGGTCTACGATGATTTCAGGGAAAAGAGTAAAGCTCACACAGCCCGCGGTGAAAGCAATATCACATATATATTATGTCATATTAGGCAAGGTGATAGCTTCAGGGGAAAAACAGTAAAGCTCATACAATCTAGAGTTATAACCCCATATAATATTTCTCGTATCAACTGAAGCACGGTGTTAGCCTCAGGGAATATGGTAAAACATAAACAACGCATGTAGATAGCCATACCTAATATTTCTTATCTCAAATACGGTAATAGCCTAAGGGAATACAGTAAACCTCACAACACACATGGAGATATCTCTATCCAATATGTTCTATCTCAAATAAAACACAGTATCTTATACTTCCTATCTCGTTAGCCACAAGGAATACAATAAAGCCCGGCACACAACTCACACGATAGCCCTCAACAAGATATTAGCCTCAATGATTATTTTGAAGCTCACACAACACACAAAGATCACACGTATGTCATAATTTTTATCACTAATTTAGCAAAGTCATAGCCTCTAGGAATACAGTTAAGCTCATACAACCCGCGGTGCGAGTCTTATCTTATATTTCCTATCTCAATTTAAGCACAGTATTAGCATCGGGGAATACAGAAAAGCTCACACAACCCACGGTAATAGCCCTGTCTCATATTTCTTATCTCAAATTAAGCACGATGATAGCCTCAGGGAATATAGTAATGCTCACACAACAGTCAGTGATAGCCCTATCTAATATTTCTCATCTCAAATTAAGCACGGTGATAGCCCCAAGGAATAGAGTAATACAGCCATCACCGTGATAGGCCTTTTAAAGTGTTCCTATCATAGTGAAGCCCTGGGTGATAGCATCAGAGAATTAAGTAAAACTCAAACGACCCATGGAGAGTGGCCTTTCAGACGGTCATTAACACGTTATATCGAACGATGATAGCCTCAGTGAAAAAAGTAAAGCTCTTACAAGCCACCGTGATAAACATAATAAAGGGTTCTTATCGCAATAAACCAACGAAGATAGCCTCAGCAAATTCAGTAAACCTCACACAACACACGGTTACACGGCCTTTAACAGGGTTCTTATCGATATAAAACCCACCGTGATAGCCTCAACGAATTCAGTAAAGCTCATAAAACCCTCGATGATAGGAATTTTAGAGGGTTCAAACCATAATAAAGCCCACGGTGATAGCCTCGACAAATGCAAAATACCTCAAACAACCCCCGGTGATAGGCTTTTAACATGGTTCATATTCCAGTAAAATACGCGGTGTTAGCCTCAACAAATGCAGTAACGCTCACATAATTCACGGTGATAGGCCTTTTAGAGGGTTATAATCGCAATTTAACCCACGGTGATAGCCTCAACGAATGCAGTCAGACTCAAACAGTTCACGTTGAAAGGCCTTTAAGGTTTTTACAGCTATAAAACCAGCAGTGATAGCGTCAACTAATGCAGTACAGCTATCACAGCCCATGGTGATAGGTCATTAAGAGGGTTGTTATTATAATAAAACGCAAGGTTATAGCCTCAACGAATGCAGTAAAGCTTTCACAACCCTCGAATATATGCCTTTAAGAGGGTTTCTTATCGCATTTAAATACACGGTGTTAACCTCAACGAATAAATAAAAGCTCATACAGCCCAGAGTAATAGGCGTTTCAGAGGGTTCTTATCGTAATCAAACTCACGTTGATACCCTCAACGAATGCAGTAAAGCTCACATTACCCCGGTGATTATTCGTATACAGGGTACTTATTATGATTAAATAAACTGCGATAGCCTCAAAAATTGCAGCAAAACTCACACAGCCCATGAATGTAGGCCCTTAAGTGAGTTCTAATCGCAATGAACCTAACGGTGATAGCCTAAATGCATGCCGTAAAGCTCACACAATTCACGGTGAAGGGCATTTGAGAGGGTTCTTATCATAATAAAGATCCACGGTGAGAGCCTCAACACTTTCAGTGAAACTCCCACAACCCACAGTAATAAACCTTTTTCAACACATAACAACCCACCGTAAAAGACCTTTTACGGGTTTCTATCATAATAAACCCAAATGAAAAAAAGCCTCAACGAATGCAGTCTAGCTCACACAATCCACGGTGATAATCCTTTTTAAAGGTTGTTATAATCATAATAAAACCGACGGAAACAGCCTCAGAGAGATCAGAGAAGCTCACACAACCACGGCCTATTAGATGGTTCTTATCGATATATAAAACTAACGATGATAGCCTCAACGGATGCAATGAAGCTTACAAATCCCACGGTTATAAGGCCGTAGGAGAGTTTTTATTGCAATAAAACCCACGGTGATAGCCTTAACAAATGTAGTAAAGCTAACAAAATCCAAGGTCATAAGCCTTTAAGAGGGTTCCTATTGAAATAAAACCCATGGAGATAGCCTCAACGAATGCAATAATGCTTACACAAACCACGGTAATGGGCCTTTAGAGCGTTCTTATCGAAATAACACTCACGATGATAGCCTCAACGAAAGTAGTAAAGCTCATACAACTCACGTTGAAGAGCCTTTTAGAGCCTCAACGAATGCAGTAAAATTCAAACAACCCACGGTTATTGGCCTTTAAGAGTGTTCTTATTATAATCAAACCCACGGTGATGGCCTAAACGAATGCAGTAAAGCTCACAGAACCCACGGTGAAAGGCCTTAAAAAAGAATTCTTATCCAAAAAATTCAACGGTGATTGCCTTAACGAATGCAATAAAGCTATAACAAACGACGTCGATAAGCCTTTTACAAGGTTCTTATCATAATAAAACCCACGGTGATAGCCTTAACTAATACAGTAAAGCTCACACAACGCATGGTGTTAAGCCATTTAAAGGATTATTCTTATCGTAATCAATCACACAGTGATAGTCTCAACGAAGCAGTAAAACTCACACATCACACGGTGATAGACCTTAAAGAAGGTTCTTATCACCAGAAAACCCGGTTGATAGCCTCAACAAATGCATTAAGCATCAAAAGACCCTCGGTGATAGGAATTAAAGAGGGTTCTTTTCATAATAATGCCAACGGTGATAGACTCAATGAATGCAGTTAACCTCAAACAACCCAGTATGACAGATCTTTAGAGGGTTCACAAGAAAATAAAACCTACGGTTATATCTTCAACGATTGCAGTAAAGCTCACACATTGAAGAGGAAACTATATAAAATAATATCACGGCAATAGCCTCCATGAACACAGTAAATTTGCCATAACCCACGTTGATAGGCCTTTCAGAGAATTCTTATCGCATAAACAACCACGGTGATAGCTTCAACGAATGCAGTAAAGTCTAAGCAAGCCACGATGATAGGCACCTATGAGGTTTCATTTGATAAAAAATAACCCACGGTGAAGCCTCCCCGAATGCAGTAAAGTTCATATAAGCCATAGTGATAGGCCTTTCACATGGTTCTTCTCGCAATAAAATCCAAGGTGATAGCCTCAACTAATGCTATAAATCTCACACAACCCACGGTGATAGGCCTTTAAGAGGGTTGTGATTGCAATATGTTCCGTGGTGATAGCCTCAAAGAATTCAGAAAAGCTCACAACAACCCACAAAGCTCATACAATCCACAAGTCTTTTATAATGTTTCTTATCATTATTGAACCCATGGTGATAGCCTCAAAGAATTCAGTAAAGGTCAGATAACAAGCGATGAAAGGCCTTTTAGAGGGTTCTTATTATAATAAAAACGACGGAGAAAGCCCAAGTATATAAAGTAAAGCTCACTTTAAAATGCCTTTTAGAGGGTTCTAATCGCAAAAATACCCCATGAGACCAGGCCTTTAAGATGATTCTTATCATAACAAAACCCATGGTGATTGCCTCAACTAATGCAGTAAAGCTTATACAACCTATGGTCATTGGCCTTTTAAAGGGACCTATTGCAATATAGCCCACGGTAATAGACTCAACGACTACAGTAAAGCTAAGACAAATCAAGGTGACAGGCCTTTTAGAGTAGTTTTATCGCAATAAAATTCACGAAGAAAGTCTCAGGACATACATAACCTAACACAAACAAGTTTGATTGACAATCTAAATGGTTCTTATCGCTAAAATATAGGGAATATAGTAAGACTAACACAACCAACGGTGAAAGGCGTTTTACAGGGGTGTTGTCTGAACAAAACACAAGTTGATAGCCTAAACAAATGCAAAAAAGCTCACACAGCCCACGGTGATAGGCCCTTTTAACGTTTCCTATAGCAATAAAACCTATTGTGATAGCCTCGACAAATGCAATGAAGCTCACAACATCCACAGTGATAACCCTTTCAGAGGGTCCTGATCGCAATTGAATCCGCGCTGACAGCCTCAGGGAATACATTAACCAATCGTGGTAGGCTTTGCAAAAAAAAAAAAAAGCCCACGGTGTTAAACTCAGAAAATACAATACAGCTGATACAACTCATGGTAAATCATTGTGAAAAGTCTTTTACAGGGTTTAATAACAATTTTCACGCTCATAGCCTAAGTGATTAAAGTTAATATCACGCAACCCACGATGATAAGTTTTTTTCAAGCGTTCTTATAACAATTAAACCAACGGTGAAAGTTTCCGAGGATACAGTAAGGCTCACATAAACCACGGTGACAGGCCTTTAAAAGTCAACCTATCGCCAGTTACCCAACGGTGACAGCCTCAGGGATTACAGAAATATTTTATACAAGCCATGGTGACAGGCCTTCTACAGTGCTGTTATCGCAACAAATCTCGCAGTGATTATCTCTGAGAATACAGTAAGGCTCAGATAAAAACACGGTGGTTCACCTTTTAGTGCTTTATTATCCCAATTAAGCTCATAGTGATAGCCTCAACGAATGCAGTTAAGCTCATTCAACCTACGGTGGTAAACCTTTTAGAGGTTGCTTATTGCACTAAAACCCTCGATGATAGCGTCAGGAAATTAGTTAAGCTCATACAACCATCGGTGATAAGCCTTTTGCAGGGTTCTAATCGCATTAAAACCCATGGTGAAGGCCTCTAAGAATACAGTAAAGATCACACAAGCCCTGGTGATTGGCATTTTAGAGGTGATACCCTCAGGGAATACAGCAATGGTAACACAACTCATATAATAATTATAGGCCATTATTAGATGGTTCTTATCGCAGGAAAAGCCTGCGGTGAATACAGTAAATCTTAAACAGCCAACGGTAATAGGGCATTTACAAGGCTGTTATCTCAACAAAACCTACGGTAATAGCCTCTTGAAATGCAGTTATCCTCACAATATCCACGGTGATAAGCCTTTTAGAGGGTTATTATCGCAATAAAACTCGCGATGATAGTACAAGCAATTAAAGTTAAGAAAATACAGTAAATTTAGGCAACTCATCGTTATTGGGCTTTTAAAAAGATTGTTATCGCAATAACACCCACAGTGATAGCCTCAGGAAATAAGTTAAGCTAACACAACCCACACAACCCACGGTGATAGGCCTTTTTAAGGGTATCTATCGCCAGTTACCGGTGATAGCGTAAGGGAACAGTGATGGGCCTTTTAAAAGGCACTTTTCGCCAGTTACCCAATGGTGTTAGCCTAATGGAATACAGTTGTTCTAACATAACCCGTGGTGAGAGGCCTTTAAGAGAGTTCTTGTCGCAATTAAACCCACTGTGATAGCTTCAGAAAATACAGTTATGCTCACACAACGACTGTGATATGCCTTTGTAGGGGAACTTTTGACCAGTTACCAACGGTGATACCCTCAGGGATTACAGTTAAGCTCATACAACCCATGGTGTAAGGCCTGTTAGAGGGTTGTTATTGCAATAAAACCTACGGTGATAACATCAGGGAATAGAGTAAAGGTCACACAAACCATGGTGATAGGCCTTTCAGAATATTCACATCGCACTATAACCTACGGTTATAGCATCAGGGATTGCAGTTAAGCTCTGTCAATTCACGGTGATAGGCCTTTTAGAGAGTTCTAATTGCAATAACACTTTAGAAATCTTCAGGAAATACAGTTAAGCTCAAAAACGTCGGGTAATAGGCATTTTAGAGGATTTATATCTGAATGAATCCCACGGTGATAGCCTAGGGGAATACCGTAAGCTCGTACAACCCATTGTTGTGCTTTTTAGAGGTCTCTTATCGCAATAAACTCACGATGATAGTCTTAGGAAAAACAGTTATGCTCACAGAACCAACGGTTATGGACCTTTTAAAAGGCACTAATCGCCTATTTACTTTGTTTGTTTGTTTTGGGTTTTACGTCACATCGACACAGTATAGGTCATATCGCGACGTTCCAGCTTTACTGGTGGAGGAAGACCTCAGGTGCCCTTCCGTGCACTATTTCAGGCACGAATTAACACCTGAGTAGAACCACCGACGTTCCGTAAGCTAGCTGGATAGCTTCCTCACATGAAAGAATCCAATGTCCCTGTCGGGATTCGAACCCACAGCGGTGAGGGGCAAGTGGTTTGAAGTCAACGACCTTAACCACTCGGCCACGGACGCCCCTGTATTTACTTTGTAAATGTTGTTCACTTGTTAAATGTTTTGTTGAATAAATACGTTTAAACCAAATCCTCAGGGAATGCAGAAAAGCTTAAACTACCCACGGTGATCGACCTTTTAGATAGTTCTAATCTCAAGATTTATGTGTCGTACTTGCTTTTAGAATTACAAGATTGGCCTATCACCGTGGGTTGTGTGAATTTTTCTATATTTCTTTGGGCCATTATCGCGCTTTATAGAATAGACCACTAGATAGATACTTGTGGGTTTTGTGAGCTTTACCTATTATTTGAGGCTATAGTTGCGTTAAGATCTACTAGTTAAGCCTTTCACCGTGGGTAATGTGACTTTTACTTATTCTTTGCTCTATCACCGTGCTTTAGTTGATGTTTAACCTCGATAAAATCCTATTTGCGTTGGTATGAGAGCTTATCTGCATTCCTTAGGGCTATCAATGTGCTTTAGTTGCGATAAGACTTACAAGTTGGTGTGACCTTTTCCGTTTTTAACGTGATTCTATAACCGTGCTTTATAGTTGCGATAATACCTATATCACCATGTGTTATGGTATATGATAATCTGGATTGAAAATTCATAGTTTAAAAAATAACACTTCCTTTCTGACATGAACACTGCCTACACATTCTTTTTATATGTTTTGGAAAACATAATATAAAAACAGTATTTGATGAGATTTATAACAATAAATAAGTTCAGATAAGATAAAAAAAAGTTCAGGCTTATACATGAAGCAATATGAATATAGCTTACATTCCTAAAATGAGAACGTGTAGATACAGGTAGGACTTAATTTGACCACGTTTTGAATGCTACACTCCAATCTGAAAAAGTATAATTTATACATATTTTAATTGTTTTCCATGTTTTAACTCAGAGTATTTGCCATGTTTTCTACGTCGATTCCATAAAACAATGACAATACCAGAAAATACAACATAAAAACCACCCGACAAAATTCAAAAAAATGTTTAACCAAATTTATTTATATCATTGAAATATTAATTAAGAGCGGATTATGAAATATTAAACCTTTGCATTAATTTGCACTTAAAGTTACATTTAATAAATTTAATTGAAATAGAAATAGCGACATTTCATTAACAAATTGGGTTTTATATTGACTCCCTGTCTTATTTTGGTGTCCAGACAACCAAAATGAGTTTTATGAGCATACAAATGTGCAACCTCATTGTGGCGAATTCGGAAGTACTATTTTGTTTGCATGAGAAACTCCGCCTTCAGATAATCCGTACAAACATGAAAATTTTGAAAATGAAATTAAATGTATAACGCAGTAGAAATATAGTTACACATAATGAAAAAGTCACCATTGACCGCTCCAAACATGTAAATTATTACTTGAACCTTGAATCTTTCTAATTTGCCTAAAATTTTACTACATCTTTTATGGAAATATTTTCGCTGGAGGCATGTTGCTCTAACTGATGAAATCCTTTGTTTCACATTTCAAATTTAAGTATTTAGAATAATTAATTAATTAATAATTATATCTGAATTTATGTTATGTATGATAATAATTAGTTTATTAAGGTGTTGTCGCAAAAAGTTTCATCTTGCGCACATTATGCTTTTAAGAATCACATAAAACGAATTAACAACATGATTTATACCTAAATATATATCTAAAATATCCAAACTAGTGTATGAATAACACATACAAATGATTCAAAACAGAACGATTGCATAGTTTGTCATTGTAAATTAAATGATATTTGATGGTTTGCATTGTAATCATCTTACTAGTGTATCATTTAAGAATTTGCATGGTATAGACAATATATATATATTTTACAAATGACGATTCTAATAAAATGGTCAAATATAAATGGAATATAGAACATTCAAGGTAGCAAAACGAGCCTAAATTGATAGTGTTGCAATTTCGGTTGGATTGATTGGCAGTGTTAAATACAAGTTTACATATCCATACCCTGAGCAGAAAGTTACGTTCAAACTTGAAATGGTGGGCAATGTGTAAGTAATGTCCGAAGATGTGTTGTTACTGAGTTGATCATTTAATTTGCATCTTGCATTTCTATCAGATCCATGAAAACAAGCGTATGGCCAATGAGTAAGATTTATATATGCTTTTAGCAACAAAACGATTGGCGTAATAAATTCAAAGTAACTTTGAGAAAGATAAGTATGTATTTCACCCACAGACAGCTGCCATAAGTATATCAAATAGCCAAAGTGTGATGTAGGAAATTGAACAGAAAATTTTTGACCCTGAAGAAGTATAAAAAACGCAGAACAGTTCGGAAATAAGATGCCTCTTTTAAAACGTAGAGGGTATTTAAGGCGTATAAATGTGCTAGTATTAACGGGCGCATGGAACGAGTTGGCCTAGTGGTTATATTTGTAAACGTCTTAACCAATTAGCCCGCGTGTGCGTGTATCTCAGTTTTGTCGAAATGTTTTGTAGCATAGTGTGTCATTCCATCTTCCCTTTGATCTTGCAAAAAGGAAATTGATTTTGCAGGCTTAGATATCATCATATTTATTTTTAAAAAAGGAGATAGGAATTGTCTCGGAGCAACAATGAAGATTGTTTTGGTTGTGTGTATTGAATTATCTTTATGAACAAAGCTAGAAAAATACTCATATGACCATCTATTAATCTACACGGCATATATGCACGAACATCTGTACAGATAACGTGTCGAAAATTTGGAGCAGTCTCGGTCAAGTCTACTATAATGGAGAATGATTAACTGCTACTTTTGAAGAAAATCGAACACAAAAATTAGAACCAACTAAGACAATGCTCGAATTTGCAATTATCTGATTCGAAGTCAGATGATTAAGACAATATGTAGCATATTAAACTATGAAACATATGTATACAAGTATTTGCATGTTCTAACATATTAAAATATATCTATATTCGTTAATACCAAATATTCAATTAAAAGATAAAAACAAATAACAAATAAAACAAAAATAATGTACTGCCAAGTCAAGCACATACAGTGTTGTGCTACATTTTCTGCAGACAGTACATACGACCATAAAATATAGATTTATATGTGCTGACATATTTCTTGAAATAATTTGGACGTACTTTTTGTCACGACTTAAACTCATTCTGAGGACAATTGTCATAAGAATTACTTTATCAGGTAAAATATGTTCGCATAAATAATGATAATACTGAATTAGTACACAAATTCTAATTACTCAGAAGAATTTTATGATACTATCATGTTAATGCTGTTTTCAATTATTATTTAAAGACGATGCAAGGGACGTGTATTTTAAGTACATTCGATGAATATGCTCAAGCAAAGCAAGCCTGCAATTTCTTTAATTTTGCCGTCTTGGATGTTCTTAAGAAACTCGTATTTCTCTTTTTTAAATTTGTTTGACAGTTATATTTTCATTGAATATTTTTCAGACATGACATTCTACAGTTCTCAACTTGAACAATTAATTGATGACATTGGAGGATGTGGCCTTTTGCAGGTCATTTTCTGCCTTCTTGTCCACTGCTCGTCTTTTGTATCTTTATGGAGCGTCATGTCTATGTCGTTCATTGGTTACAACCCAGGATTTACATGTCAAACACTTGAACTTTCTTTTGATCTATTGTCTGTGTTAAACACAAGCAATCTTTCACCGGAAGACCTTTGCTCCACTGGGAAAGATTCAGCATGTAAAACCTATGTATTTGCAAATGACATGAATACCATTGTGTCGGAGGTAATTTTTAATTCAACATATACAGTAATAGTTATGTTTTGATTTATTTATCGTCTATAATTTCTCAGCGATATTTTGTTTGAAACAAATATAAATTCTTTCTATGGTAGTTATGAATGATGTTGCAATTCTTATTTCCGCTCATGGTTTTGTTTATTAATTTTGACGGCAGGTCTGAATGGCAAATAGGCAGCTATTATAATTGCCTTATACTTAATCTCCAAGTTGTTGTATATTTTTTAATCCTTTGGGATACAATACTTACAATGTCGAAGAAAAAATAATTGTTAAATAATAAAATGATACTATGTGCGTGAGAAATAATGCATATTGCACTATATCAATTGGACAGACTCGAACCTTTTGTGCAAATTTCATCATTTAATTTTTGTATTTGTTTCCTTTCATTCAAGACTAAAGTATACAGACTTTTTCACTTTGCGAAGTGATAAAATTGAATACTGAAGTAATTTAATTTTATTTTAACAGAAACGAAAGGTATTTAATGTTAAAACATTTCATGAACACATACATTTAAGGCCTGCATCTTAACTGGTTCTTTGAAATAATTCAAACAAGATCTATGACCTTTGAATATATGTACATGAAACATACGAATAATTTAATCATACATAGCAAAATATATTGAGAATACAAGCCTGAACAAATATGTTATGTATTTAGGTTATCAACAACAACAACAACAACATCATCATCAACAACAACAACAACAACAGCAATAATAAACAATACTACTTCTAATAATAATAATAAAATAACAACTGTAGCTCATCGGGACACAATATAAATGACCAGACGCTATAAACTTAAAGACGATGCTTACAAAATATATAGTTTTCAGTGTAGCAATACCACGTGACCATGACATCATTTTCGGCATCATTTCCAAAACAAATATTGCTCGATTCGAAAAAATATAGCCGGAAGGATTTTGTTTCTGTACCAATTTCTTTGGGGTATGCACAGGAAAAAATAGAAGCATACCACAAAATATTTGATCTCCTTCAGTATATGAGCCGTTTCTTAAAACACTTTGTCAAACTTTAACTGGTGCGTATCCAAAAGAAATTGGTAGTCACGGTTATTTTCGTTTTCGAACCGAGTAATATTTGTCTTGGAAATAATGCCGTAAATGACATCATGGTCACATGGCATTGCTACACTGGTTTTGTGTGTTTTGAAATTTGTTTTTCCCTAAAGACTTTATATAAAAAAATGCATAGTTTTGAATAACTACGAGAAACCGGTGACGACATTTCAAATTCATGAATTCCGGATTTAATCCTCATGGATTAATAATTTCAACATAACGATTTCAGCTTCACAAATTCACAGTTTTACTTCATTAGTTTCACGAGCTCACATTGGTGATTCATCAAGTCGGGAAGTTGAATACGTGAAGTTGAAATAATGCGTTCATGAATTTAATTTGTAATTTCGTGAAGTTGTTGAATTCGTGAAGTTGAAATCGTGAACATGTAAAGTTGAATCGTAAATTTACAAGCTGAATTCTTGTAGTAGAATTCGGGAATTCATGAAGTTGAAACCGTGAATTCGCGCAGTTGAAATCGTGAATTCCTGAAGGTAAAATCGTGCATTCTTGAAGTTGAAATCGTAAATTCATCAATCTGAAATAGTGAATTTGTAAATTATCTAGTTGAAAAAGTGAATTCACGGAGTTAAAATTGTGAATTCACTAAGATGAAACCGGGAATTCATGAAGTTGAAATGTCCCCGCCGGTCTTTCGCTTTTAATTAATTGCAATAGTTATGATAGCTTTGGTGCTTCCAAAAATATATTCTGATTTTTGTTTAATCTAGACATTTTACAATAGGTGGAAATTCCTCTTTAAGAAGATGTTCATTTTACATTTAAAAAGAAACCGTATAGAATTGATCAGTATTTTCAAATATCAAAGAGCGTAACTTATCTTAAAAAATATGACCAAAACAACATGGCTGTTAACAATAAACGATACTGATCTTCGATACTGTAACTGTTTCTTTGGCCTGTTCATCAAATTTGATGCAAACACAGTTATTTGGTATATTTTGTTAAAGAAAATCATTTCTTTTAATTGCATTGAATTTAAACTAAACCTATTTTTAATTTCATTTACATACTTATTTTTATGTTAAAGCAATTTCGTCTCAGATTTAAAAAAAACATCCCATTGTTGACGCACTGAATGGCCTGCTATCTTTATTCCGTTGTTCATTTTCCAGTGGCAGCTCGTATGTGGAAAACGATGGATCGTGGCTTTTGTTATATCGATCCAGATGGTCGGAATGCTTGTTGGTTTCATTATCGCCGCACAGATAGCTGACTTATTTGGTCGTAAACCAACCATTCTTATAGGGCTTTTCATAATTACTGTATTTAATTTCGGTGGTTATTTATCTAATTCATATGGAGCATATTGTGGCATTCGTTTCGTAATCGGGATTGGATTAGGATTTTATTACACAGTTCAAAAACCTTTCATGTCTGAACTAGTACCGTCTAGATGGCGATCATTTGTTGTATGCTGCCCAATAGAGCCTATGGTTTCTATGACGTTTGCATTTGCAGTATGGTGGTTGAATGACTGGAAACTAATACATTTACTAGTGACAGTTATTGGCGTAGTGATGACGGTGATAGTATAGTATGTATGGTATTTCTTTTATTGAATATGATTTCAAGATTTAAAAGCTAAAAAGAAAATCCACATTGATTATACATACAAGCATACAACGACGAAGTCCATTAAGAACGCGCAAAATGCCATATTGAAAATGTTACACGCTCTGTTTGAGTGAACCTGTTGATAGACGGTTATGGCAGGTGCAAGCAAACGTCAACTCCTCATTCCCCAGCTTTGTCTGACGGAAACATGTATTGATACATTGCTGATAATTGACATTTTACAGTATCAAGTTTGGCTCGGAAAAGAATAACTTCATGTATAACACTATATAGAGCAAGTTATCTACGTATGCACTGTCTTTTTTGTCGATTATTTCTAAATATATTTCAGTTTAGTACCAGAAAGTTTCAGGTGGTTATTGTCGAAAATGAAGTTTGAGCGAGCTAAACGATCAATACATTGTGTAGCAACTATGAACAGAGTTCCGATGCCAGATCTTAAGCGTTTATTCAATTCAGCAGTCAGCGAAATTGAATCTTCGTCACATAGAAATAACAAGACCAATACATCAATTCTATGGGCATCAAAAGATCTCAGAAAAACAACAATGTCTCTGTCACTTTTATGGTTTGTATATGAATTGTAGTTATGTAAACACAAGAGTTAAGATTTAAAACATTGGTACATTGTACATTAAACACTAAATTTACCAGAACTTTTAAGGGAACTTTAAAATGTCAGCTGAATATGACTTTGTATAAACGTGTTTGTATGAAGACGTTCATAAGAAGTCTTAAACAATTCATTTCCAACTATCTTGGTAATAACTTTCAAAATGACTTTGATCAACCTTTATACAATCTGAGGCATTGTTATATTGAAAATTTAATTTCATGTGTATAAATGCTTAGTATCTTTTTTATATGGATATCTCCTATTAAATATGAGTTTAATTGTTTGCTATTACAGTAAAGTACAAAGGTAACGTAATCCAAAACTTTTTGTAGGTTTTGTGCTCACGCATCTTGGTATGCCACCAGCCTCGGATTAGAGAGTATTCCTGTCAATATTTATTTAACAATTTTCCTAATTAATCTGGTTGATGTACCTTCATTATTATTGATATCTCCCATAGTGAACAAGTAAGTATCATAAATTTTCGTTTGAAAAATCATTTGGAAAAATAATAGAGTTATGTCTATATATGATTGATTTCATCTTTTCGATGAAAGACGGAGCCGATGAAAGACGGAGCTATTGTTTGCTTCAAAGTTTGTTAACCTTTTTGGTTAAATTTTCGTTCATGGTCAATACGTATGTGTTTATTGTGTCGTGTATCGTTAACAATCTTCCCGTACATTTAATTAAAAACGATATAATTTTAGATCCTAGAAGATATCTTTAAAGATCGTCCAATACGGAATTATTGCTGTGTGCATGTCTTAGTCCCTTGTATTTAATATCCATTCTGGTTAGGTGGTTATAGTATACGTACCCTAACACTGTATAAAATCACCCTTAGGATATGCTACTTGCCTTTTTAATTTGTCTTTTTACATATGCAGTCTTCAGAACATGTCTTTAACAATGCCGTTTTATTAATTTCCGGATATTGTGGTTTCTCAGGCATGGGTGTGTCGGGGGCTGTGTCCTGTGAACGTTGCCTTTGCCATGCAATTGTTGATCTTTATTCTAATCTTTCTATTTTTAAATCAAGGCAAATGCATATGACTACTTTGGCCCTTACGCCGCTTTTCGTGGAATGGCACAATCATTTCACATTGAAGTTCTACAATAAATAATATGCAATAATACATATGCGGATGTTTCGCCTTTTTCATGTTTAAATGTTGAATTCTGCCATAGCCGGTGGCAGGTGGCATGGACCGAAGCTAGCATTAACCAGTACCGTGAATGAACAGACTTAATCAAACCGAGTCTGAGATTTTTTTCAATTTTGCCGTTTTTGGGGTTCTTAGGGTATTTCATTTTTCTCTGATTTATAAACTTTATATAATTTCGCTTTAACGAACAAATTTAAAATGACATTTTGCTATGTTATGCCCCTTTATTTGACTTATTGTGTGCATTGGTTAACCTGTTTGTTTAAGTTTATTTCTCAATAAGTTGTATTAAATGTTGAACTTGAACAGTGTAAATCCATTTTTTAGTAGTTCATGCTGCATGCAAGAACACCCTAGTAACACATTCATCGGAAGTTTTTAGTCATATCATGGCGAGAACCGATGAAAACGTATTATACAAAGATATCATCAACTGCTCGTGGGGAAAAATAAGTTTTATCGTCGAAAAGTGACCGATTGGTCGGGATTGTTTAAGCATCTTAAAAATTCTTGTTTAATAACCCCTATTGATAACCTGTCTACAACCAGTATCGATGAAGGGCCAACGATAAGCAACAGATCAAGTTATACCACTGATAGTAATAACGAAGAGAATTAAAATGTAAATTTCGTCACCAAATGAGCGACCGTCTGTGTAAGTAGAGTGTAAAACTATACATTGATTTGGTTAAAAAAAAAATTTGTATCAAACTAATTTCAGGTCTTTATAAAATATTCGGCACCCTATAAAACCTAGTATGACTTTCTGTATCTTGCCGACAGGGTTCTTGTTTAGGGTTTTAATTAATTTTATCTATTTGATTGATATTTTACAAATGATCTTTTTACAGGTTCGGAAGAAAGAAATTTTGTCTGGTGATTTGTATAATGTCCTGTTTATTTTGCTGTTCGTCGGGTATTCTGCAGCATTTTGGTAATTAACAAAATTTAGTTTCTTCGTGTTTTATTTGTAAAATCATAAGTTTTCAATATTCAGAAAAAAATGTTTTATGATTAAACAATTATTTCCTTTGACTTCAAGAATTGTGAGTAAATGATATACCAATAAATGTCCCAAATATAATATGTGTTTTTATGATCTAAACTCTATTCTTTATAGCAATCTTATATATTTTTTGGAAATTAAAATAATATCTATAAAATTTTAGATAAAACATCAAAGTCATTGCAGACTTTTAAAGTCGTCACTCTGGTGGTCTCTTTGCTTGCAAAAATGACCGTAACAGCTCTTTTCTTTGTGTTATTCATTTACACAACAGAACTTTATCCTACTATTATCAGGTGAGTTTTAAAATGTTGATTAAAATGTTACTGGTACATATGTTTATTTTCTATTACACGTTTAAAGAAAAAAGATAAAAATCAGCCCTCATTCAGTTCATTCAGCTTGCAAAAAAAGCCTTGAATGCATATTATACTATAAGAATAACCAGATCGATAAATTGACTATTTTATTAGAGAAAAAATCAATAAAGTTATTATTATATAAAACAACATTAATTTATTCGAATGTCACTATGTTTCATAAAGTGAAGAATAACACAAATTGGTTTCATAGCAATGAAAGACTGGTAATTTAAAGTCAATAAAATTGACTTGTTTGGTGATAAAAGGGATTTTACAACCGGACATATCACGAACATTTTATTTTATTACCCCTCACTATTTTGGTAATGTTTATTTTCCATAGGCCAAATGGAATTATTCTTACTTTTAATTAAGTGTACCATGTGACTAAATGTCTAGTACTTTTTCACTATAGGAAACTGAAAAAATAAAATCCTGGAGAAGCAGTGTGGCCCAATGAAGTATTTGTCAGCAGTTATAAAATAAATAATAGATAGGTTTGTGTAAGAGCAGAAATATCACCTCTAGTAAAAATATAGTAATTTCCCTCGGGGTAATATTTTTACTGTAACTCACAAACCAATGTGTTATTTATAAATATATATATAGATATACTTTCGTGATAAATCATTTTTAGGACGAGAGGCTATGGGTTTCAATCAACAATGGGTAAACTTGGCGCTATTGCTTCATCATTGCTAATACATTTGGTATGTTGCTTAAAATACATTTCTTACCACACCATTATGCGTGTTGTGTGCATGTTTTATTGATGAAGCGAAACAGTCAGATATTTACAGCATTACATTAGACATACTGCTTGTTACATCAGAGACACTGGTATTGAGCACGAAGAAAATCAATGTTCTCTATATATTTATTCTTAACTCTTTAGTTATTATTTCTATTTCATTGCTAATATTAATTTGGTATGGCATATTTTTAGTTTCCGTTTCATACAATATACGTTTAAGAGAGCGAAAGTATCCCATTCAATATGTGAAAAAAGCAGACTCAATGTCATATACCATTTAAGCATTACGTATACAATTATTTGTACCCGATATATGAATTTCAACGTGAGAAAGGGCAATTTCAATTTATTTTATAACCACACTCACAAATGAATTCAGTTCCTAGCATTTTATGTAGTTTATTAAGAAATACATGATTCATTACGCTTCTTTTAAAATTTCAGGATGGGTTGTTTCCAGGAACGATGTATTTCACTTGTGGTGTTTTAATGTTGTTGTCGATAGGAGGGGTATTGTGTCTTAAAGAAACAAAAGGTTTAATACTCCAGGATTTAATGTCTGAACAGTCCGTAGATCCCCCTGATTCCACTCAGTGATATAACACCGTGTAAGAATTTTACAAACTTTTTGCCAGACATGTAAAGTTTATAATTACATGTCTTATTAATCTTTGATACCAGAATAAATGTTACATGTTTTCTTCAATTGTTTTTTTATGAACAGTAATATCATAATATAAGTGCTAATAGTAAATATAGACAATAGAAAAACAGTAGATCATTTTAACTATAAACATAACCATAATTTGATTTATTTATATCTATCTTTTTTATTCATTTCTTTCTTTCATACAATTGTTTTTGCCGGCAATTGAATCCACTGATTTTCTTTTGATAACAAAACTTAAATGTTGGGAAAAATATTTCAATCTTTCTAATTCTGTATGACAAAGGGAAATCATAATACCGGTATTTAAATAGAAAATTAACTATATTATTGTATAACTTCTCAGCTACACATAGATAAATTATGTTTGAAAATAAACTTATTTAACTGTCACTCGCAAATTACCATCCTTAGCTATGACTTTATAAGAACTATTTAACATTTGAAACAATTTTAAGAATACATATTAAATTATATGAATGCTTTTTTATACATACTTGCTATTCTGTCTGTTACGTATATGTGAAATTGATAAGAATATATCAATATATAAATGTTCTTTGTTCATCCATGAAGCTTCTTATGTTGTTTATCAACGCTCACGAAGCATGATTCTTGTGCAGTTACGACTACTTTCACTACTTTGGTATTTGCAAGCATATATCTCAATTACTATACATTCACTTACATATCAGCGGCCATGAAAACAATTCAATTAATATTGATAATTAGTTATTTATGTTCGTATCAGTGTTTGTAGTTTTGAAAAAAAAGGTTTCATTAAAGTTTTTATAAATTTTGAATCTTAATTTGTCCAAACGGTGGCGAAATATTTTAATGACAGAGCCCGAAATGTTGAAGAAGATAGAAATGGTGACTTAATGTAAACTTAAATTAAATCCCTGCAGATGCTCATCTATTACTGGTGAGGACCAAAAATAACAATATTTAGTACAACACTTCATATATATTAAAAATATATGTAAACAAAAGGAAATGATATATTACATGACACAACATCTGCATTGCATTACTGTAATTGATATTATTGATCAAAACATTTTTTTGGAAAAAAGACCATTTTCCGGCAAGCGAGCAGCAACTCGTGTATTTACTCGTCCTGTAAAAAGTAAGCTGAAGAAGAAGGCATTTCACCTTAGAAACCATTCCATAAAGCATGTTTTATTGATGAAGCGTAACAGTCAGATATTTACAGCATTACATTAGACATAGTGCTTGACAATGTTAAGAATTACACATTACATTAAGTATGTGCACATGAACCACTGTACAGAGATACTGATATTGAACAAGAAGAAAATCAAGGTTCTCTGTATATTTATTCTTAACTCTTTAGTTATTATTTCTATTTCATTGCTTATATTAATTTGGTATGGCGTATTTTTAAGATTTTTATAAGTATCTGATTCATCTATAGACAACATCTCATTCGTATTTTGCAAAGTGTCGCATTTAAGAGAGCGAAAGTATCCCGTTCAATATGTGAAAAAGCAGACTCAATGTCATATACCATTAAAGCATTACGTATACAATTATTTTTTCCGACAAAAATTAAACGGTTAGTTATTAACTATTATTTGCATAATCATACATTTTACACCAAGCTAGATATAATTTCAATATAATATGGGCACCGATCGTCATTTTTAGTTAATCACGGTAATTATGCAGTAATGAAACATTCATGATAATTTACATAATGAAATATTGATCCGATACCATGGAAAACGCATTTAACTATATATTCATTACAGTGTATTTCGTGCAGAGGCATATCATAATGATATTAAAATATTTCTCATGTACAATATATATATATCTGGAAATGTGTCAGATATTAACTGTATATATGAAGACATTGTACAACTGTTTTCATCTAAATAAAACATGCTATGGTCCTAAAAACAATACAAATATATCTTTCATTTACCGCCAACAGAAAGTGCAAAATGAATTAACAGCATGGTTGACCGGAGTCAAACCATAAATTTAAACTGTACATGGTAATTTACTTTTGTTCTTTGATATTTTTGAGACTGACATCTTATCTTTTTATTATCATAAAGTGGTCATAAAAAGTGTTTTAATTAAATTATAAAATATTATTAAATTTGTTCAAAAAGAAAAATGGAGACATAACAAAAACAAACAAGGATTACACGTTCATATAATTAACAAAGGTGCATTTACAACAATAGCTTCATTCATTGCTTTTCATTTAATAAGGATATCACTATCAAAACTACAAATAATAATATAATTAAAAATCTTGGAGAATGTGGACTTCTACAGAACCTTTTTTGCGTCTTAATAAATGCAACACTCATATTAGCAGTTTGGAGTGTGCTTGATATGACGTTTATTGGTTATGATCCTGGATTCTCATGTCGAACACTCGATGTAAAGTCCCTTCTGTTCATTTCATAATTGCAAGCAAAATTTTTACTCATCGCCTTTATTCAGTTGGGATGAATTTTACATGCAATTTTTACCAATTTTCACAAAGTAGAAATATCAGTATCATCAACAAACAATATATCGTCATATTCTTTGGATTTATACATATCTTATTGCCAAAAAAAAATATATACTTATACGAATACGCTAAGACAGTTACAATACAATGATATAACATATCTAGGAAACAAAGGTTGACCCGTAAGTTCTCTGAACATAAGCAACAGGTCTTCCCTTTATATTCTCTTTGCGATATAGTGGTTAAACAAATACCTTGGAAAAGTAACTTTGTCCTTAGTAATACCTTGGTAAGTATCTTAAAGTATTCCTAACTATATTTTAGGAAAATAATGTACAATGTATAATTAAAAAATGTCACAACGATGCAGATAGTGTAGCAGATTAACCATTTTGTTTCAACAAACAAATAAGGGTCACATTAAAATCATCTATAATCGTGTTTAAATGCTTAAAGACTTACAAACTGACATAAGCACACAAAATGTTTTCATGATATTTCAGTGCAATTACTTTTTATCTTGCAATTTGTAGGTCGTGGAATTGTATTGCTTTAGGAATAGAATGTCTCTGTAAAATTAATATTTATTTGACAATATTAAATCTTGTTGACTTACCATCCGTTTCTATCACTGCACCTCTACACAAGTTGGTTTG